AAGGCAGCACAGAAAAAAATCCTTTAGACTCAGTTTCTCCCTCTCCTCCCAGACTCACTTTAGCCTTTATTCTGATCGAGCCATAATGCAACTTCATATGATGCAACAGGTGAGGTATTTTCCTCTTTATGGTAAACAAATGATGTCACAAACACAGGACTGTGATTTCACTGCAGAACTGAACAAGTAGGTATCTGATGCATGGAATGACAATTATTGTTCAGACACGAACAGCAGAAATAATTGCAAAAGTAAAACAAATGAACGACCACGTAAATTAATTTCTTTTTGAATCATTCTTCCTGTTTTCCAAGTCCAAATGATTCTCCTTTCCTATTTAGGAACCCTGAGGGGATGAAAAAATGTCCAAGACGGTGAAATTAAAAATTAGCTATTGAGCATGAAACATGCAATGATTGCACTTCATAACATTTTTATTGCCTTGGTGGTGTATGAATCACTTCACAGTTCCACACTATTACGATGAAAAAAATGACACCAATAAAGTCTGAGCAATTGATGTTATGACTTCATCAATCCGGGACTAAAGGCACTCACAGAATGACAAATGTTCTCAAGAGTGGAGAAAACCACCACCTCATTCTGAAGAAGCACAGGTTGCCTCTTTGTCTCTTTCTGAGGAGTGGTTATCCTCACCCCAAACAGATGGAATATTGGAACAATCCTCAGTACAGCTCCATGTGACACGACCTTGCTTTTCCTCTCTGAAACTGGGCAAATTCGGGTTTCTCGAGAGCTATGAACACAGCTAATGCACAGTGAAGCTACAGCTAACACAGAATGTTCCCAATTTAGAAAATTCTCACTCCTTTGAGGTTCTGCATCAAGACTGTATCATTTTAACCATGACCTGCACTTAGCCTGAATTTTTAAAAGTCTATAGATTCTGGAAGTATGAAGTAGAATTATCTTTACAATTTCACTAAACACAAAAAAGTTCAATTTATTGCTGCTTAAAGCTTTCAAGAGGACAATAATCTCTGCTTAAGGCAACAAAAGCAGCATCCAAGTAATCTATCAGATACAACATCAAAGGTAGAGTGCAACGAACTGACCTCCTGCAGGAAGAATGTACCTGCTTTTGACAGCCATGCTCAAGAGCTAACGAATGCAACCTTAAATTTCCTACTTAAAAGTTCCGCTTGCACATAACTAAATAAATATTTTAGCCTGGTTGTTCAAAAAAAATCCCCAAACTCCCATCTCTATCAAGCATCACTAAATCCAAACCGGTTCTGAACAGCAGAAACTAACAATTTTTTTCCTCTCTAATACATACTAGCTTTCTTTTTTTGAGTTGCTAGACATCTTGACTCAGGTATTAAAAGTCCCTGGTAGGATTCTTTCCTTTAATATAATAGCTCATATCCCTTATAAAATCATTAATAGAAAATAAAGCCCTTTTTGTTAACTCTAATCTTGCTTCCTTGCAAGTGTGCCAGAGGCATTTTAATATAGATCAGGTCATGAATATCACAAATTACAGCAGCAATGTGTGGCAACAGAAGATCAGATTATTCATATAACAGTAATACCTTCTTCCTTCTTTGATTAGAAAAAAGTAAACAGCATGCATTGATCTCCCAGCACAAAAAGTCACTTCCTCTTAAATCTGTGTTTTTCTGATCCTTACAAATCCAGGTTTACAGTATGAGGTAATGGCACAGCACAAACCTTAGAATGATGAACGAGGGATATTACAGGGTGTAATAAAACCTACTTCATTTTATGTCAAAATTCTCTCCCGTTTCCCATGATGTACAGGTATGAAGCTCAGACAGAGTAGGAAAAAGTTAGTAGGTGCTGTTTTCTATAAAGTTTCCTATGGCAGACTCACGGCAGACGCATTATGAACAAAGCAAATTATGTACAGGCAGGCACAATTATGGAAGAATTAATGAACCAACAAGAACAGCCCCGGCCATAAATGCAGTATAGGAAAATGAAATTAAATTCACAGTTAATTTATACATCAGTATTGCAATGCAGAAAAGCACACCCCATTAAAGTTCCTATTTTTCCTGAGTATTGCCGGAACAAGGAACTGTAGTTTATTTCCCTACTTGCAATGATACACTGGGAAGGACTCACAGGATTTTCAGACGGGTTCATAGTGAAGAAAGACAGGAGTAATGACCAAACAGGAGCATAAAGATGTTATTCACACCCCCGTTACCCACTGCAGAGCCCCCCACGATGCCATTCCACCACAGGGTGCAAAAATGGCTTATTATTAGTAAAAACCTATTTCCAGCCACCCAAAGATTCAGTTCAAGTTACAATACAACAAAGAGGTGTTTTACCTTCAATATGTCCTATTCCTTTAACATAACTCAACAAGGCATCAGGTGATGCTCACATTAAATGCCAGCTGCCCAGTCCAAAGGACACATCTATTAGCCCCCAACGACATTTCACTTCAAAGGAAGTGAACTTTTTTTGCCACCCAAATACCTCTGCTGAACTCCGATAAAAACCAACCTTGGCTGATAAAAACTCCACGAAAAAAATTAATGAAGACTTCCAAGATACCTTCCCCAAGGAGAACATTTAAATTCTTCAGCAATATGCAGCATTAACATGTGATGGGACAAGTCTGTCAAGGAGAAGCCTCAGAAAGATGGTGCTGGTTTTGCAGAAAGAATTACCACCTCTGATTTTTGGGGCCAGGCTGGAGCCCTAACTCTAATTAAATTCTAATCTGCTTTTTCCAGGTTTCATAAAATGCTGTCTCAAATAGGCTTATCTTCTAAGAAGTACAGCATGATCTTCTCATTAAATAATCTGTTACAATGGGAACACATTAGTACTAAAGCCATAAAAGACTGAGGAAATTATGAACATTTTCCCCCAAACTAGTATCACTTTTAAAAAAAAAGTGCCTTAGTATCACCTTAAAAAAAAAAAAAGTACATTCACAAGTCTGCTTGAAAAGTGGGAACTTACTGTTTAAATGTTTCTTCAATGTTATCTCTATTTTGTTCTTTAATTAATAAAGGGATACATGCACCAACATTATAAACACTAATTTGCTATTTAGCATCCCAAATTAGGAAGCATAAACATTTATGCACTTCATTAAACACTACCTAAGAACACTTTTGATATTAACAGGAGACAAGCTAGGCTGTTAAATGCAATTTCAGGGCACACGTAAGACACTGTAAAAAGACGCTCCTGCTCTTCCTGTCCCTTGCCATAAAAGCTCCCAGGCTCCATCCTGTTGGCACCAGCTCTTATGAAACAAACCTTGGAAATCAGTGAGATCTGACTCATCTGCACAATCACAAGCACCAGTTTAAGGGAAGGGACAGGAATGCAGGGACCCAGCAGTGAAAGTGGGGTGTACCTGTTAGGCAGCATGGCATTAGATTGGTACAAGGCAATCAGGAAATTGGACTTTAGGAAGCATAAAACAAATACACCCTGAATTAAGACATCATTTAAGTGCAGGTGATGTACAGAGAGAAACAACCTGGTGTTTTATTTCTTCTATTCCAAAAAAGGCACTGCAGTTCTAACATGCCTCCTCCTCTCCTCTCCCCTTTTGCTTCCACCCACCCCAGCCCTTCAAAGAATTATAGAATCATTTAGGTTGGAAAATACCTTTGAGATCATCAAGTCCAACTATTAACCCAGCACTGCCAATTCCACCACTACACCATGTCCCCAAGTGCCAGGTCTGCCCACCATTTAAATACCTCCAGGGATGGTGGGTCCACCACTTCCCTGGCAGCCTGTTCCTTTCCAAATTATCCACATTTACAGGACACTGAAATAGGTTTCACATTAGAATAAACCAGTGCGACAGGAAGATGATGAAAAATAGTAAGTCTTTCAAGACTACAGAAAGCAGAATTGCAGTAGGAGAAAAGAAACAAATGCTGATAACTCAGGAACAGGAGCCTGAAAGGTAAATAATCACACCTGTATGTGTAAAATACATTAAAGGTTAACCAGTATCAGTTATATAACAAATGCTAAAAATTCATCAGTCCAGACCTTAAGTTATCTCTAAATCCTTAATGAGAAAATAATTCAGGCTATTTTCTTTCACTTACACATGATAAGACATAATTCAAATGACAAATTATTCCTCATAACTTTGCATTGCAAGTCTAACTTCAATGTAGAAAATTATTTTTATTTTCAATTTAAATTTGTACTAAAAGTGTCCATTATTAAATTATGGACCCAGACAAAATGGTACTAAATTTTCTATTGTACATAATCTTGCCACAAGCGTGGCAGTTTGTAAATGGTTTGAAAATACAAATACAGTAAAAAGAGAGTGTTTCAAGAACAGTAATATGGACACACTAAAGAGCTTTGTACCACAACCAGAAATCTGAAAAATGTCTTGGTGCCCAAAAAAGAAGTGCTTTTAGATTTATTTATTAAAATAAATTATCATGATTTTACAACTTACAGCTTTGAGTTCTTTGTTGTTTATTGGTTGTATTTTTTTTTAACTGTGACGGCAATGGTGATCTACCTACAAGATAATAAGTGAAAAAGAAGAGTTCTGTGTTTTTGATCAAATATATTGTTAGAGATCAAAACAAAGATTTCTAAAAACAAACGATTAAAATTTCAGTTCAGAAAAACACTTATTAAAATACAATCAACCCCTTTTCAATAGCAAAGTGGATTTTGTACAGTTCTTCCTTCTAAGCAGATCTTTACTGCAGTTTAGATCCGCCAACTCCAGTAAAACTAAACGTAGGCCAAATGGGTCGGTGTTTGCAGAATTACAACCTATGTACAGAACTGCTGGTAACAAACTGCAACTCACTGGAAAAACCTTTGAAAATTCATTTTTCATTGTGAGTGAACTTACAGTATATCTTACATTATTTAAAAGCAGTTTACACCATGACAGAACCGCTCAAAAAAATGAATCAGTTATAGGAAGAGAGCAACGCTTCAAGTCAGCTTCTGCCATCAGCAAAAACGCCACACAAATCAAAAAACAACACTTAAGTAAAACACTAAGACTTTATTAAAAATCCAAAATTTATTGCAAATTGTACTTTGCAATTTCCCTCCTTTCTTCATTTTTACATGATTTATTGATATCCATGATTTTTTCACAGATGTACTTGTTGACTTTGGAGAGTCTCTGTGCAATTTCAGTTTCATCCACAGTTTCTTGTGCTATTCTATCATACAAACATTCTGAGGAGAAAAAAAAGAAAAGAGTCATTAGGATATTTTTAGAAAATACTATAGCCCTGAGCTGGGCTAACTACACAAGAGACAGCACTGAGGAAGCACAGTATATATTTGTTGCAAAACAAGAGAAGCTTTCCTTGATTCACTGGCTATCTTGTTAAACTCAACATTTTTCACCAGGCTTGAATCTTTGGCATGACAAACTTCCAGTTATGCTGTGACTACATTAATAGGCCTTCTATACAGAAACAAGGCTAAAGCCAACCTTTTACAGTGTCAGTCTTGCCTGCTTAACTCTTGTATTTTCCTGTATCTCCACATCAGATTTAGTCCTTTCCCAGGTGAACTGTCTCACCAGAACTGTTGTTATCTACAGTTCCCGGTGAGCCACTCCTACCTTCACACCTTTAGGAGAGTATGTAAACAACACTGGTTAGGAAGAGAAGCAGTAACCAGTGGGAGAACACTTTAACCCATTTGTTTTACTTTTCAAATCTGTCCCACATTCTTTAACGTCTCTGTCTTTATCGGATGCCCTGTTCCTGGGCATATCTTGCTTTTATTAGTAGATTATTCAGGACAAGAGCCATCTCCTTGCTCCTTGAACAACACACTTTGTGAACTTAATTGGAAAACAAAAAGCAAGCAACAGTAAGAACTGCAAAAGCCATGAGGGCAGTGAAAGTTGAGACAATTTGTCTTCACAGAGTTGGTAGTTTGGTGCCAGAATCCTGCACAGGTTACTGAAATCTGAAGTGGTGTGACACACACAACTCCTTTGTGACAGGCAGGTTTGAGTTTTTCTTTTTGTTTTCATAACCAGAATGATGTATTCTGTTGTGTAGACTTCCCAGATTGGTTAAACCAACTCTGTTCTGCTTTGCCTAGTGATCTATTCCACTAACCATTTATTGCTTCATATACAGAAAGCCATAGAGATTATTGCTTAATTAACATGGTTTACAACATTTCTAATGCACCATATTAAAAAGTTACGAAAATTAAGTACTATGCACGCCTTGTAGTTCATTTGGAAACCTCTGAGAAGTTTTATAAAAGGTTATTTTGCATTAACAAGGTTTATAACAGTGCTCATGCATCATACTTTTTATCATTTCTTTATTACATACTACACAGTGGGGATTTTTAAGAAGCCATAGAGATATCAGACACATTAACAGCTAATGCTGTCGTTCAAAAACCTATTTTAAATAAGTTAGTCTGTGTCCACAGAATGATGAGAACATCTAAAGCAATGTGAATTTTATGTTGTAAGACGTACTGAATATAAAATAAGTGAAATTAATCGGCACACAGCCTGATAGCTGAAATGCTGATCATCAGTAAACCACGGTTAGAAATGCAACACCTAAGAAGAGGCACGTCACTGAGAATCTGAAGAAACCCATTGTGTTTGCAGGTCATCAGCTTGCCCTGCAACAACCTCAGGAACACTCCCGGGTTGTGGTAGATACACCTCGTAAGGTGAACTCCCAGTGAGAGACAGGCTGTGTTATCTGTTTAGCCACAAGGTCAAGCAAAGAATCACTTGACTGAACTTGTTCATCAGCTGTAATTCTTAAAGTCAGTGTGACCCAGAGTGATCCATGATCCTCACAGTTTTTCTTCTTCCATCTCTTCCATTTCTATGAGGGAGTACAGCAGTAGTTTAGTACTCATATAAGAATGCTGGCCTAGGGGCTCCAAAGAGTGTTTTGGGGTTTCTACTCCTTGTCTTTACTCCTTGTCTTTTGGCTTTAGAGGAGCATACAGACACCCCTTCGTATTGCTGAATGGACCAAAGATTCAAGTAGACCTCAAAGACTAACAGGGAGTTTCACTTCCTTCTGTCATGCCTGATCCAAATCACTGGCTATGGCAACCTGAACTTCCTCACACTTCACCTATTTTTCCACTTGCCAGTAATTTTTTCGCTTTGTTTTCTTCTCCACGGTGGGGCAAGACCTGCTAACACTGACGCAAATGCAAAGGACACGACAACATGGAAACTCATGGTTATGAGCTACCCAGTCCCACTAATGTAGGAAGCCTGCCACCTAAAACATTGGCCAAGCAGTTTAACTGTTCCAGGAGGAGACTGTACAGGCTTGAGTCTAACAAAATGGGAACCAAAGACAAGGTGAAAGAAACACTGGAAAGGGGAACATGGAAAACCAGGGCATGTAACAGCAGAATTCAAATGAGGGTTGAGGCTGAAAGCAAAAGTATGACAGAAAACATAGAAAAACGAGGAAATAGGGAACAGCTGAATTGCTGGTGAGGGTAAAGGTAGGGAAGAAAAGAAAGGAAGGGCCCCATCTGCCTCTCTCCATGTACCTGTTGGAGCATACTCCCAAACTCACCATAGTCAAAACAATGGGAGTTAGAAGAAAGTTGTCATTTAAATGGCTCAAGCAACACAGAGTGGCCCTGACAGAAGTAGAAGAGGAAATTCTCACAGAAGCAACCTCACCAGCAGTGTTGAGGAGCAACAGGGAAACCAGAAAACAGTTTGCAATGGGCCAGTGAAAAATAACCCCTTTTTACTGTATGCTTGTCAGTGTGCATCTGGGTGACCAATTCTGTCTCCATTTGGAGCTGACAAGGGCAGCCACTGCCACAGAGTGGATTCCTTATGTGGCCAGTACATCATTACTCAGCTACATGGGTAAGGATTGCACCTAAAGGCCCCAGCCAGAACTACAAAATCAGCATGGAACAGCTTCCACTTCCACTTAAATTCCCAAAGTAGATTAGTAAAAAGAATCTACGTCTTTTACTCATTTCTTACAGACTAAGGAAGATGACAGTACGAAGGTAAGTTTTCAATTTCCCCCACACAACACAGACACAGACACACGCACACACTCAAAGAGGAATCATATTTTTTACTCCCAAACGTGGTACTTTGGCAGATTACAACACCTCTTAACAAGATCACAGTTAAGAGCACACAGCAACTAAGAACAGGAAATGCAGAATAATGAATCTCAATCAAAGGGAGATTTCTTTCAGCCCTACTGCAATTTCGTATGGACACAAAACCTAAAAATCCAATTTCAGTATGTATTTCATGAGGAACCAACTCAGTTCTAACTTAAAGAGAAGCCTGAAATACCAAGAGAGACAGAAATGATGCAACACAGGCGTGATGATACAAAGGGACTGAAATTCACCATTTATTTTAAGTAAGGGAGAAGGCCTTCTCTCTCTCAAAGTACTACATACATGGACTCAGGCTTGTTACTGAAAGTGTCATTGCAATTTTCCCTGCCAGATGAGGTCAGCGATTTACACTTCCTGTCCCAATTCCAATTCAAGTGTAGCAATTAATTTTTACTATTTCCATTTCCTCCACTTAAAAGGGTAAAGCTATGCTTTCTTGCCTTTGAAGGTACACGTATTTTATAGTCACAGCTATAATGGTTTCTGTGCCTCATGCCAGAGCCGGTTATATTCTGGATGACAGAATGTGGTAAAGCTACTCTCGGTCTTGTTAAAAGGAATATATGCATTTAAAAAAAAAAATCATTCTGTTATAAATGAATTCTAGAACAACATATTGTTCTCCAGGCTGAGAGTCCTGCCCTGCAATGGTGATCCCCTCGATCCTTACTGAAGTCAATGTACAACTCTTCAGCTGTGAAGGCCTGCACTGTGCACAGCTATTGCAATGTGTTTGACTTTTCCTGGGTATGTATGCACTTCACAATGCAATAGCAGTCTGAATTACAGTTTTTAATCAGTTAATTTTAAATGAGCTGAAAAGAAGCATCTTTCAACTCAGTGATTAATGGTTAAACTCCAAAGCAGGAAGCAAAAGTTTTCAAATAACCTACCTCTGACAATGCTTAATTTGTGAGGTGAGAGAGGTGGCTTGGGAACGGCATCTTTCTTTTTTTTGGTTGCAACTCCTGTGACACTTCTGTTCTTGAGAACATCTGTTCCCCAAATCATAACCGCTAGATTTTTTGTATACTTTGAATCTCCTTGTGTTACTTGCAGCTGGTGCCATTTCTCCTCATCTACCCAAATTCCACTGCCAAGATGGACCTAGAAGGTAGTAATAATAACAACTTATCTATGGTATGTAGCACACAACAGTATCCAAGTGCTGTAGGAACATTAATATTAGGTACTATAATAACAGTAATTAGGGCTGAACAAATCCACTTTGCCTAACTCTGAAATTTCTCCAACTTTGTGGGTCAGGGAGTTCAAGTCAACCTCTACATATCATATAGTTCCTTTTTGTAATCACTACTTTTCCCCCCCACATAACCTGTCTCCTGAAAGACTGTGGTCAGGAACAGAGATCGAAGAAGGAAACAGTGAACACATCCAGTATTATAAAGTTATGCACAGCATATAAACCAAGCAGTTGCACCAGCCTAATTCAGGAGCAAGATGAAACACTTCCCTTCAACTGAAACAGATTTTACTCAAAGCATATTTCAGAGGCAGTAAAGAGGGAACTACTTCCTGAGTCATATCCTGTACCAGTTGGCAAAATTCAGCCTGATTGTTTAAAGTAACTGAAAGGGGAGAACGGATTTTGAGAGCTCCAATTTCAACATAAGCCAAGAGAGTTTGGAAGCCTTGTAAAGCTTCCAATTCTATCATGGTGTCTATCACGTGCCATCAATGTACCAGATGAATACTGTTTTGTGGTCAGGCAACGACCCACTGCTGCAACATCATAAACTTCCCATTATCCAAACCATGGGAAGTAGAGATATTTCACTGAAGTGGTAAAGCAGGATAATATGGTGTGAGACACTGGATTATTATATTAATTATTGGCTCGGAACAACTCAAGTGGTGTGTTGTGTGGGGAGGGACAGGTCAAACTCTGGGAAGGTAAGGTGATGCCCTGTCCCACACCCCAACCCCTGTGAGACTCACTGGGCAACTCTGGAGCAGCTGTCAGTCAAACAGATCCAGCCCCCATCCAGCTACAAGAGTCCAGGAGACAGAGTTTGAACAACCATGGGGATCCAGGGGTGGTAGCTGTAATTCCCTTTTTCTCTCTTTCTTCCCTTCTTTTTCTCCTAATCTCCTTTCTTGATATTTTGGGTAACTTAGGACCAAATGGGTTGGATTTTGCTAAGTTGAATGGGTTAGCATGTGCTGTGTCAGTGCTTTGTGGACTGCTTTATTTTGGTAGACTGTTACCCTTTAAACTTTTGCCAAATACTCTTATTTTCTGAAGTTTACCAATAAAAGAGAAAACGTGTGCAGCTTTCCTCCTGTGCTCTCTCCTTTTAAGGCATTAAAAGAACTGAAAGTTCTTCTAATAATCCAGAGGGTGGATACTGTTGGAGCCTTGTACATTTCCATTTTGGTGAGCTTGTAGCTCAGGTGCTGGTCTTACATATGGGTACTGGGAAATGCATTGTGAAGTTTTTGTAGAGTCTCCAAAAGGAAGATGCTCAAGCCTAGTTTTGCTTATTAGCCTTGCTCAGCACTGACTGTGCTGGGCTGACTCCCACAGGGCTACTCCGTGTCTCTACCACAAGATTCCCAGTGCTCCAGTCTTAAGATCAATGCAGGACAAGAACCTGAATACTGACTGTCCTTAGGATGCCATTCTGTGTTTGAGCCAATAGTCCTGACATTCATGACCCTGTGCAGCAACAGCGAGGAAACAACTCCACAGGTAACCAGCACAGGTCTGACACAAGTGCAGCCAGGGTGCACATGCTGGCCCCGTGTGGAACCAGAATATTTTGTACCTTGTATGTCTATACTGCAGTTCCTGGAGTACAGTGCAGACCCCTGAACTACCTCTGCACACAGAAAGCTTTGTTCACATGGTGATGAACTTCATTCAGTGGGACACACACTTGCTCACCATCCATAACAAGCTAAGGCGTGATCAAGGCATCCCAACTGCCGATCAGAGTTCACTGCACTTACTTTCAGATCATCTGTAAAAGTGCAACATACCAAAAATATGTACCAATTAGACTGCTGTATATCCAAAACCTAGGTTTCATTAGATCTGGTCCAATGGAGGTCCTTCCTATAACACTTTAATAAAAACTTACTGCCACTTAAGGATTAAAAAAAAATCCCATGAACAAAATCCTATTGCAAAACTGCATCAGGAGACTCCATTTCCCTTAACTGTTCTGCCCTTAGTTTTCTGTGGTTTTACTCCTTTCATGTGGCTTTACATAAACTGTGCCTGCTACCCATACAGATCTGAACAGTATCACGTAAGTCCCATTAAATGCAATGAAAATTGGACAAAGCTACTGTAAAATTTTATATACCCATAATTTTACTGCCTGTATTCAACCAGATACCATTTTTCCTTTAAATGGAAACCAGTTTTAATTATTAATAAGGGCTATAACCTCAAGAAATTTTTTATTACAACGACATCCTTCAAAAGCAACTAGTTGTTTAAAAACTTAAATAGAGTAATATGAATGGTTTGGCTACCAGCTATGTTATAAAAAGCAATTGAAAATTCTACCTTCCTCAAAGCATAAAACCGTAAAGCAAGCTGCCTTTCCCGCAGAATCTTCTACACTAAGGGATTCTAAGAAGCTTTTCACAAGTCTGCATGGTATTTAGATCTTGTAATGGACATAAATTAAACTAGTAATAACCACAACACCAACACCCCCTGTTTTTTCCCCTTCTCCATTTTGAGCTTCTTCCTAATTGCTTTTAAAAAATTCCCTCTTTTGGTACTCTCTACATATTTTGTAAGACAACTTCAATCAGGAGTGAGCAGATCTGCACTCACAATTCAGTTATTTCTTGTTTGATCTTGGAAAAGTTATCTGGAAAAACAACTATAAGTTACTTAGAAAATAACTAAGATCAGGAATGCTGTGACATACCAAATTTTGGAATGTCTGTACTACATTAGTTGTAGAGAGTGCTGTATTTGATCAAAAATCTGATTCCTCTTGGACAAAATTAGGGTTTGCCTTTGCAAAAGATTATTTTGTCTCTTAGGCTACTACATTATTCATTAGCTTGAAGTCACTTAAAAGAAAAGAACAAGTCACAGGAAGTATTTTTAATATTTATGGTTTAGACAGATCATCTCTTCTTTGAACATGCTTCATTTATTAAAAAAATTATTGCTGGTATGAAACACCTATGCTAACAGCAACTATGTGACAGACAGCCACAGCCACAGAAATCTCACGTCTCTCTTTTTCTATTTCTAGCACTGTTATGGTAAGGAATTTAATCTGTCCATGTCTCAGTTTACCTCTCTGTGCAACAGGTCCAGTACTTTTTCCTATTAATCCCAAAGCTACGGGAAGTTTACTGTATTCCAAATTCAGAAGACATTTCCTTCTTGCTGGAAGAGCTGCCCCATAGGCCAGACTCTTGGCTTGATGAAATCAATGGGAAATTTACTCCCAATTTCAGCAACTGCAGGATCAACCTTCAAGCACAATGCAACAGAGCCAACAGCAAATTCAAAGCAATGCTCACCACTGGAACTGTGCTAACATCTGCAATAGATCTAAAATGTCTCTCAGAAGATGAACTCTTTTTTTTTCTTCTTTTATTTTTTTTCCCTCTTCTTTCTTTTCTTTAAATGAATGCCATGGGCTCCTTTTCAGTAAGTCTTTTCTCCCTCTGGAGGGAAGAGATTTATCTGCTTTGAAAGAATCCTACTCAGATCAAATCTGATGCCACAAAGGGCAGGATTTGTAAAAAAGTATTTCAACTACTCTAGTGGTACATGTCAATAAAGGAATAATGAAATAAAGCCATAAATAAGGAAAACAGAAGAAAACTACCCTCCAACACTCTAAATACATTATCAGTTCACATTTCTGGTATCTGAGCTGGCTGTAGCCCCAGTGAACAGGCAAACGAAGACCCAAAATTACAAAAAGAAAATCAAAGAGATATTAATATCTGTAAAGACAGAGAAAACTTCAGCAACAGAAGTGCCAAGAAGCTGACAGATGAAAAAAAGGTGCAGGAAAAGCTGGATACAAATACTAAAGGACGTGCCCTATCCCACAGAACTTAAGTGGAAGAGAAGGAGGTAAACCAAACTCGCACAGTAATGCACCCTAAGTGTTCATTGCACAAATACACACAAAATATACAAGCAAATGACATATTTAAATATATTAGGCAAGAAAAGCTATCTGAAGCAAATACCTGTCAAACTGCCATGATTCTACTATTTTTCACATACATTCTGTCCTCAACAATTATGTTGAATTCATCTTCAGGAAGGACAGACACTTGTGCAGTCAATCTCAACACAAATCTGAAAATGCAGTATTTCATGCTACTCCATCAGTAATTCAGTATGGCAAAGCTGGAATGGATGTTTCCTCCTTAAAGGTTCTCAGATTATAGTTCCAAATGCATATATATACACCAAGAAACAGGAGATGCATAGGCATTTCTGAAGGACATACAGTTTTGTACAAGAAACATAATGCTCATTTAATGATCACGGCAACAGCTATAAAAGCAGGCCTAGGTAGATGAGCAGACAATGTGTTAAACATGCTGAAGTCTGAAAAGTTCTCTGGCAAACTAGAGCTAGATGGTACTTCATCAACTTTATAATAAAGTATCTGGAAAGTAGCACCACAACAACTCAACTCAGTGGCAATGCTCCTACCAGGTTCAAGGGAGCCCATTCCATTCCAGGGTTCATAATTACCTCCTGGACTCCACTTCAACACAAACATGAGGGCTTCTCTGCAATATGACTACAGCATATTACAAACATTAAAAACCTTTTAGGAAAAAGTATTTTGGTTAAATAGACTAATGTAACTTTATAATGAGGGCTACTGACTTTGGTCAATATTTGGTGTATTTCTGGATGTCACCAATTGAAGATTAAGTCAATTTGCTTGTGCATGCATATTTAATAACTATATTCCTTGTGTTGCACAGCATTCAGTGCTCTCAGCACTGAGGATATTTTTCCATGCTGTTCATATTTGTGTAACTTCCCAATTTTTCTCAGCATCATAGTACATCTTTACGAAAACTGAGGAAGCTTCTATAAGCTGCTGCTGTGCAAAACCCCCAAGATCATGAAAATTTCACAAGAAAATCACCTGATGGACATTTGAAAATTATTCATGCTATATTTAAGATAAAATACCTTTCCATTCTCGAGAATATACTTGTCCATTACCGGAACAGGGGCAGGATAGTACGTTGATGTATTTGCCTCCTCATTGAAGGTCTTCTGTACCTCAGGCTCAGGTTCAATTGATTCAGGTTTTACTTTTTCAACCTCAATGGCAGGTCCTAGACAGTTAAGAAAAGAGAGCTGTCTGCTATCCCAGAGAACACAAAATCAATCCCTTCATCACCCATGGTTAGCATAAAATAACACATTAGTCATGTTCACTTTAAAGTTAGAAGTAATCTAAACCAAAATCCTACTTCTGAACATCAATAAATAAAAGTAGGATAAGTATCTATGCTTTATAAACATTAAAATGTTTAATTTTAATTTAAATGTTTAACTTTATTCTTAAAGCATAAGGACAATTACAGATATGGGTAATATTTCTTCAATGCACACTAAGGAAATTATGTTAAAATGACACTGAAGTTATAAACCAAAAGCAACAATAGTAATTCTTCAGATAAGAACTGCTATACAGTTGCATGGAAACCTGCATAATTTACTGTGATAATTACATAAATTATCCACATAGAACCACAAATTTGAAATATCTTTAGATATAATAGAGGCATATAACAAATAGTGAGGATCTACAGAAATGCTATAAAGGAAACAGGTTACTTAAGCTAAAGTATCATGCACAGAAAGAGTATCAAAGGTTTAAAAACCCCACATAAATTAGAATTTTGATTGTCCAATCCATCCAACACTGATTTTTATTTTTAATGTAATCAACAAAAATTATGCACAGATTAAACAATGGAATACTACTCAGCATATGTTTGAGGCTTCAAAGGAGGATAATTATTTTGTCAGTCATCGACTTTTCTTTTTCAGATCAAATTTATAAAATATTCCTAAAAAGACAGAAGAATGAACTAAAATAACTTCAATTAACTGGATTTCATGATTCCATTCATTGCAGTGGCTCCACCAGAAGTCTAGGCTATGGCCCCAAGCCTATCCTTGTCCCTTGATGTCTGTCTCTAGGATCACGAGAAGCTCCAGCAGTCACTGAAGTTCCAGGCAGGGGCGATGGCTCGGTAACACAGCAAAGTTGCCAGCTTAGACCCTGGACACCAGGAAAATGTGCCACTTCCAAGATCTCTAAGGATAAACTCACACACTCATAAGTGCTGTACCGGACCAGGCTGGTGCTGAGAGCACTGCCCCACTCTGCAGCCCAACCCTGACATCTCCAACAAACGACAGCTCGATCAGCAGGTCACCGTCACCCATCACGGTCCCTCCTGTGTTTGTGCACAAAGACCAAGCCCTGAATTGATCTCACTCTGCAAGTCACGCTGGCACCACAACTCCTGTCTTAGTCACGGATCTTAAATAGTTCCTGTGCCTGGAACAAGCACAGCATTCATTCCTCCTACTTTGTGCAGTTTCATTTAGGGATTATTACACAGTGATAGCAGTGCTTCCTCCGTTGTCAGCATTTGACATTTATCCTATAGCTTATTCTACACCTACATACCCAGCTAAATGTTCTCAGCTGGCTGCCACTCAACGCTCAGCAACGACTAAAAGTTGTCTTGGCAACTCAGACAACCCTACACTGCAGTGCCACCAACTAAAGTGTCTCAAGAGCCAGCCCCAGTGCAAGCATGGCACAAACAGAGAAATCACAAAAACATCCCATCTGCATTATAATTTCACTGTCATCTTAGTAAGCACCTCTATTGTCATGAAAATACAATGGTATGGCCAAGACAAACTAAACTTCCTAAACTTGAGACTGCTGAACTGATTCCGACTGGGGGAAAGACCTACATTGATTCAAGAGCCAAAACCTGCCCACAGGATGGGCACACCTGAACAACCAGACGCAGGGATGTAATTGCCAGGGTGACCTTAAAAAGTCATCTTTTAGCTGTTACTTTAAGAAAACGTTCTTCAACAAAGGGCTATTTTGAGTTTTCTTACACTTTGAAAGTCACTTTGAGGAAGACACCTAAGTACAACCACCTTCTTCCTGGTAGGAAACGTTTATTGCAGTTTAAACACTTTTACTACTTGCTATTTAGGAGTCTTTCACTATTTTGTTTATAGTCATATATTGACACAGCTGCAATTTGGTTTCCAGAGTTTCCCCAACAAAAAGAGCTGATTAAAGTCCACAATAACCACAGCTCAGAAAACCTCTGTTGCAACTCATGCTTTACTGCTTGCTTAGCAGTCACCAAGAGAAAGCCTTTAAAAGGTCTTCTTTTATATTCTGATTTTTGATTGCCAAACAGAAACTGCCTCTAACCAGGCAGTTTTCACAGCCACTTTCACCAGCCACCAAACTGCATTTTCAACCCAGCATGTTGTGAATTAGACACGCAACCTGCACTACTGCCTGACTGCTGTGTGCCCAATTTACCACACACCACACTCCAAGCTTCCCCTCTCTACTGTAGCTCTTGTGCTCTGCATCTTGTTTTAAAGATAACGAATGGGACATATAAAAATACATACCACTATCTAAAGGCTTAACACTTATGTAATAAGGATCAGGAAAAAAAAAAAGACAATTTTTCAGAATACAAGAAGGAATTAAATGTTTTATTGCAAAATCTCTCTCCTTCTGACTGTAATTTTCTTATAATATCTGAGAGGCCAGCAAGTTCAAATGCAGAATGAAGAACTATAAGGTTTCCCTTCACCATCTCTTTTCCTCTAAAATGCATCTTGGGCCACACGCTACTGAAAAGTTAGTTAGAAAGTAAAAATAAGTTAAGTGATAAAGTGGTCAATATACATTTGTAAGCAGCAAGTTTTTCCACATGGTCCACCAGAATTTGAAACAAAACAACACGAGTCTGAGGAGTGGCAATATTGGTACTTCCTGCACTTGACAGAAACCTTGGCATTTTTTTTCTGGTTGGTTTTTAATTTATTTATTTTTTTACATCAAAAAGCCAAACAAATCTAGAAGAGCTGAAAACCAGTAATTCCTAATGTGTGGCAAGACATAAATCCCACTTCATTCTCCCTGTTCTGGTGTCAGTCCCAAGACACAGCAAACTGGATGGTTGAAATTAAACGGGGATTAAAACTAAAATCTTGAGGGTCTGTATGCACATGTTGATGAATTAGTGTTTCTGAATGAACGTGAATATACTCCCTGACTTTGGAGCAACACCAATGCTCAGCAATATAACATGAAAATGAAGTATTTATCAGGGAGCTAACACCACCCAAGCATTACTGCTGTAAAACTTCACTACTACTGGTTACATACAGCCAGAGAAAACTGCACAGATCTTGCCATGGAGACAAATTTTTTTTAAGAAGGTTTTGAAATTATTCTTTTGCAATCCAAGGACAGTTTAAAGTCCCTACAGGGGAGACTCAGTTATTTAATACTCTACCTCACTCTCTATTGATAAAAAGAGGGCAAATTAGTGTGTTTTCAGGTGATAAACTGCAAAGGTCTACAACCACAGGGCTTCCTGATCCCAAAGCAGGCAAGGCAAGAGGCTGCCCACGTTCCTCCAGGAACTCAAATGAAGGATACCATAACCTCTTCTACAACAGTCATCACATTTTTCCACTGTTTTGGTCCCTAGAGCCCTGGTCAAATGCCTGCCTCCTGCAGGAAGTGATCTGTTGGGCAATAACACGCTAAAACCATAAAGATTAAACATATCTCCCCGGATCAGCACTGATTTCACTACTGGTATTGGCCACATCCGCCTTCAAGGCTCTTTTATGACAAAGAGCAATCCAGTGTCACCACGTGGAAGATGAAGAACCTCACTCCTCCCACCAGAGTGGCTCAAGTTTAGCAGCAGAGATGAAGGCCTAGATCTAAACACATTGACTTCCAGCTCCTCACTGAAATCAAACCGTTGATGGGAAATTAGGAGACTGACTACTTGACTGAGCCTTAGCTCAAGAGGCTGTTCTGTATTTGATCTGCAGGTTTAAAATGGCAACAGGCACGCATTTCCCACAGCTGCAATTCATCAGCACAAACCAGCTGTCATCTCATGCAAAGAAATCAGAAGTCTCTAAGGTGAAACAGAAATGCAATTAGTTTGCATTAAGTCCAGCCTGCTAGAAGTGCAGCGTAACATAAATTACATGTAATTTGAAACTCTAGGTTTAAGAGATCACTGCAACTGAAGATGAATTCAGGATGTAATTTATTTTCGGAACAATTTTCAGAGATTATTCACATACCCAAACATACCTCATTTGAAAGATGGAAAAGGAAGACTAAAAAAGTCTTTACGTATCTATTTCTTGATTAAAAGTAACACTTTTTCATACTGCCATCAGACTCTCCAATTTATAATGTGCTGAAGATGTCTCCCTTGCTAATTATTCATAAGTTTTGTATTGATCTTTCTAGAACACAGTCGTTTCTCTACTGTGAATGAGGCTACAAGGAAAGGCAACAGAGTAAGTAGCAGTTAATACAGAGTCTTAGGAAATACAAACCCTGTGAAGGACACAGCCCACAGGGCCAAACTCTACCTTTGTCACCATGAAAAGTTCCTTACCAATAATAACAAGAGATTTCTTTTTTTTGAATTACCTATAGCTGATATTTGTCCAGGTATGTGATTAAATTAAAAGAACTTGTCTCCAATGTAATTGAGATTTATTTTCAGTTGTAAAGCAGGTGCCAGACTGATATAATGGAAATTCATGCCCAATATTTAGAGAAGATTCAGTATTTTTTCCAGGAGGTTTTGGGGTTTCTTTTCCTCTTTATTTTTTTCCCCTCTTTTTCTTCTAAAGTTTCTTTTTTTGGCTCAAGAGAAAAATGCATCCTTTTTCTTAAAGTGAAAGAAACAAGACAGAATTCAGTAGCTGTCTTCATTTCACTGCTGGTCTCACCATTCCAATTGCTGTCAAGTCTACCAACTAAATTGGTACTTTACGCTGTTCAGCCCCATTGCCTACCAACATCTGGCTCATGCTCCATTCACATAAATTCCAGCTAACTACTTGCAGATGAAGAAACATCTTTCCATCCAAGGAAAAGTTTAGAAAGCTCAGTGGAATCTACTGCCAACCACATTGCGTTTTTCAGGCTGTGGAAACCTCGCCTATTTAGTTTTATTTAAAAAGTTAACTAGAGTGTTTGTAATAAGTAACGACATTTTAATTATGCACAGTGTAACAATGATGAGCATTCACAATCAAACACCCAGTTCCAATAGCTGGATACTCCAAGAACTTGGCTCCAAAGTTGTGGGCACACCTCAACACATGCTACAGCACAGGCACATGCTCTCCCAGGTTCAGGTTTGTAGTGAATGTAACTCAGACCCACATGCAGATTGCATGCACTCGTTCCAGTACAGGAGAAGAGCCAATATCCAATTTACATGCAAAAATTAACTTTCCAGATACACAAAGGCAGACGTAAGAAACAGCATGCTAGGTTCGGATGCACAAATTTCAACCGAGTTTCAGTCACCGAGCAAATCTTCAACACAGCAGTACCACATTCTAATAGCAAATAAATGTAATTAGTAAAAATTCTGAAGGTATTCCAAGGGTACCATCTCCAATGAAAAGGATGAACTTTTTATTTTGTCTTTTTTTTTCCCATTTATTCCAACATAATGCTTAAATAATTCTTATAAACCCAAACAATGAGCAATTGACTCAGGATAGTTAAAACTGAAACCCAAATTACACAAACCTGCATTTTGTAACAAGTGTTGATAAACGGGACACTAATATAAAAAGTTTTTTCAATTATTCTTTAACACTCCATTCTTTTTCAAATAGCATGGCTGTTTAAAGCCACTGCTAAGAAGTTTAGGAATATATCACATTCTAATAAGCTACTAATGGGAAGAGGGGTCAGAAAATGGATGGTAACATAGTCACATAACAATAAACAAAAACCCTAACTGAAAAGAATAAATTAGTTTTAGCCCAACTAGTCATTCCAGTGCCTTTTCTTTTTTTTCCTTTTTAAACTGGAACATGTTGGTGTATTTTGCAGATGACGCTTTATTAACTTTTTCAGCATATATCGGAAGGTCAGAGACTCTTTAAAATACAGCTGCTCAAAATGGAACTCTGATTCAGCCATACCAGCACAAAGACCTCTACTTTTTAAAGAAAAACCCAGACGTACATAGCATACAAATTCAACACATATTGTACAGCCACAGCAGAAAACCCCTTTAACATTCAATGTCCAGTTTAACAACCACCGCTATTCTTCAAATACGTTTCCGTTACTATTGATCACACTTGCAAAATTCATTCAAACTAGTCCCACTTAAGTCCGGCACTTACCACTACCTAGTCTTAGGAGCAGTACATCCTGGAGCCTCCTGTTCAAGTCTCTGAGCTCTTTCATTTCTGACACGAGTGCCCCATACTCTTTGAGCTTCTTTGCCTGTTGCACAAGCTGTCTCCGCGTTCTCTCCAGCTCCTGCTGAATGTGCCTCATTTCTTCCTGTTGCTGTTGGTAACTCCTCAGCAATTCTTCGTACAGAATCCGAGGAACTACAGCATCGTCCATATTGTTCATGCCTTCTGTAGTCTCCATAAAAGCCTCCTCAGGGCTGGAAGTATTACTGAGACTCATCCCGTTCTGTTTTTCAAGGCGAGCAACAACTGCTTCAATGCTTTTGTGTGTACCTTCACTTTGTTTCCTCCCATCTTGTCTCTGCACGTTACAAGAAAAAAATAAATAAATTAGGAGAGCAGTAAGAAGTAATAAAATCAAAAACTCTACAGACCTGGAAATGGTTAATATTTCCGGTTTCCAAAAACACTCTGCAAAAATGTTTTGCCTAACAGATCCTTGTGGCTATAATATACATCATCACTAACATGTAATTGTAATTTTGCTAAATGCAGGTACAAACTTCTGAGGCAGTTAAAGGTCTTTTTGCAACACTTACAAACTCAGTGTCACTTGATCCTGTATAGTTCTTTTTTAAAAAAGTGGATCTAAATCCCTTTTTCTTTAAAGTTTACCCCTAACATTCAGATTTCCAACAGCAACTGATTTTCTGGTAAGTAAGAGGAAGAATCAGCTGTGTGCTACATTTGTCACCTGTGATGACATCAGAGATGAAAGCAGCACAGGGCACAAAGCTGTTCTGTGAATTGAGGGCTTGTCCTTCCCACACTTTGGGAGACAGAACCTTCCCTGACTATCCCTCCAGCGCATTCACCCAACTTCCTGATGCAAGAGACTGAGTTAACACTATCAGCAGCATTAAAAGGGATTCAAAAACAGAAGCTGGAGACTGAATATAATCATCCAGCCTCCTCTCCCTTATCAACTGATCCCTTCTATATTAATACTGCATTGCAGAGGCTTCATGTCCTTTGAACTCTCAGCAGAACTTTACCTTCAGTCACCTGCACAAACCCTACAAATTAAATCACATCTCTTTGGCCTCAATAGTGGTATTAATATGTGACAGTATGGGTAAAGTCACTAAGTTTTACAGGCCAAATATCAAAAGGCATTTGAATTTCCAAGCAAGTGCAAGGAAAGCAAATGCAGTTCATGGGTTACAGATGAGAAGCTGACACTATCAATTCCCATACCACAATATCCAAGAGTAATGTGGCAGAAAACAAAGTTATTTGATGCTATGCCTGCTGCATGTTCTAAAGACATTAAAAAATTTAAAAAGAAAAAAAAAAAGCTGGCCCACCATAAAGAAATGTACTAGTATCATTCCTGCAGCTGCAAAACACATGAAGCCATAGAGCAGTATTTTATCCTGGAGGTTGGCAGACTTTTAAAGAAATCATTTGATATAAAAAAAAAATAAATACATTTCCATAGTGAGTTTCTGGCATCTGGACCTAAAAAGGCAACTGGCAGTTATAATGGAGAGATGCAGTCCTGTCAATTCTTCTTCTCAGCCACTGCTGTAGTTGGGAAGTCTCAGAGCACCCCTTCCAGTTCCAAACAAGCACCGTGCAACAGGCCACAAGTGCCACCGAGAACAGCTGCTCCACAGTCATGGAACTGGGGACTTTTAAGGCTTTCTGGGCCAAACTGGAAGAGCATTGTTCCAAAAATCTCAGATGGCAATTAAACTGTGCAGACAGGACACACAGGAAAACGTTCAGTTGCACTTACATCAGGTTTTGAGAACCCGTACCCCACCCCCACACACAATGTGACCCAATTTCACCAAACACAGCATTTTAAGGGGATCAAAAGCAGGCCTGGAATTCTTAAGCTGAGACGTCTGTATGTGCCCCAAGCACTTGCAAAACAGAAAAACAAAAAGGAAAGGAAGGGAAAAACCAAAACGGAAAGACTTCAGTACCTTACTGTGTCTAAGCTCCACATCTTCTTCCCCATAATCTGTAACCTCCCCAGCTTCTTCTATGTGATTGAGAGAGAGTTTGGGGATTTTAATTTTCTTCTGCATCACACTGTTCTCAAGGTCAGTTTTGTCCTCTAAAATGTATATTAAAAATAAAATTGTGTTACATTAATCAGTGTTCTTACTTCCAAATACTATATGACTTAGGTAAGACCAGTTAAAAAACCCCAACCTCCCGTGATCCAATCCCCTCATAATGCTACATTCAAATTAATCCATGGTCCAAGTCAACTGATGCCCACTGAGAATTCTGCAGTTCCAATAGGGATCAATCTGGCCCAACACCAGAATAAATACTGAAAAATGCCAAGCTAAATTTATGTGATAAGAAGTGCCAATGAGTGGCTTGTACCATCACCAGAGTTGCAGAGGCTGTAAATAAAACTTCCTGAAAACCATTTGTATTGCTTTAAATTATGTTTACTAACAGTGTTCTCATCTTTTGCTGCAGTTCAAACTCTGCTAAGGGTTAAAGTGAAAATAAACTTGGTAATTCATCCTGTGCTCTAACCATCATCTGTCAGCAGCACACATCTATTTGCACACACAGCAGATTCTGCTGTTCCGCAAAGTGCAGGGCTGGAAAAGGGAATGCTGCTACAGAGCTGGAAAGGGCATTGCACAAAAGTTGCACAGGAACCAAATCTGTAACAAAATTACTATACAACCCCTATTTCATTAGTTAATGATACTAATCCTTTTCCTTTAGATATACAAAGGTAATAGTTATATTAACTTTGGCGTCTCATAGAGAAATTGAAGTGAAATATTTTCAAGTCTGAAACATTTTGATGTATCTCAAAACTAACCATTTAAAAATGTTACTCTGAAAAAAAAAAGAATTGAAATATTTTAATATTTCTGAGAAGGTAGGGAGGGGACAGGGAACCAAGAGTTTAGTGTCCCCAAATGTGCCTGTGATATGTAAAATTCCTGCAGAACAGACAAGGTCTTAAAAGATTCACCTGTTCCCGACACTGACAAGGTGAAAGGCATTTAAACTGCCAAGCGTTGTCTTTGTACACTGAAAGTTTAAGAATAAGAAAACGTTCTGAGTCTTCTTATCCACCTGCAAATTGTATTTCAGGAAGTGTCCCGTGAATATTTTTGAAAGTGCCAATGAGGATGGCCCCTGTGAGTGCTTAGCTGCGTTGACTTTTGCTTTCTCAAATTAGCATCTCTCCACAGGACCTCAAAATGGTTCGTGTTGACAGTGTAGGGAAGGGAAACAAAGGTAAATCACTGTTTAATGAGGAGCAAGGCATTCATTAGAAATGAATTACACAGATGAATGCAATTCATTTTGTTACAGATAGAAATGGATCTCTTGTAGGCAAATGGTGATATTACAGCCCAAGGCTATGTAAAAAGAATAGGCACAGAACATGCAGAATAAGACATTAGACAACCTGAAATGAAACGCAGATGGTAGCAATAAATACTAAGACAGATGCAAAAAGAAACAGATAAACAACAAAAAAACAGCTAGGCTTATTTTAGATCATTCTCCATTCCCCAGAGCATCATGGATGCTTATCCCAGTAAAACAAAAAGGCAATCCAACTGTTTCAGTTTTGAAAAATAAGCCACTATGTTTTCGTCTATCCGGAAAAATGTAGGTTCATCAGAAAAGTGAGATAAGCCAATTCTAATGCCAGACAGCTGAGAAGAAAATAAGGGAGCCTTTCCCTAAAAAAACCACAAACTTCTAGACTAAAGGACTGACTGATGGGCATAGCTTGAAAGAAAGAAATAAATTTAAGAATAAATGAACCCATACTGAATGGAAAAAAATGAAACCCACTAACTTTTTCCGTGTCTATGTATTTTGGGCTATGGGATAGATTGAGGAATCCTTTGCTAAAATATGTTCTCACAATTCCTTAGAGGAAGAGCAGCACATGGATACTGCAGAGCCAGCTTCTCTCAACTGCTTTGCCAAATCCCGTTCCACAGAACATGTGGATGACCTCCTTCTCCGTGTAAAGAATGCAGATCAGGTTCTGTGCTCTGAAATAACCCTTGGCCTCACAACCAGATGGACACAATCCATTACTTCACAACGTTAAAAAAATTGTCTGCCGGCAACTGGCTGAGGTCACCAGGAGCCAGAACCCCACACAAACGGGGAAAAGAAACTTTGAAACAATCATGGTAAGGGGTCACGGAGAAGTAAGTGCCCGTGCAGACTACAAAAGTCAGCAAATACTTTACAATTAATAAAACAACATGAAAATAAAAATGGTTTGGAAGAATCAAAATGTTTACCTTTTTTTAGGTCAATTCATAAAGGTTAAGAACATATTCTATCCACTTAACAATGCAAATGAAAGAAAATACTTAGTCTTGGGTCAAAGAAAACAGCGCAATTCATCTGGGTTCTTCATTCTCTTAGTTCTCCACCCAACTTCTCGGCTCACCTATGAAATTTATGTTTGCAAAACTTCACTGGTTGACTGAAGGTAAGTTTGTTTATTTATCTCCTTACAAATGTTTAGTTTGTACATTACTGGTATGTAACTATCAACATGGTTCTCTTTCTCTTCCTTAGACTTTTTGGGTTTACTGTTTATGTTGTACATGAACCAGTAAGTTGAAGAAGGGAACTCTTTTATCCCCCACAAACTCTGAAGAGACAAGGGTAAAAATCAGCTTATATAAGTTAAAGCTCAGGAACTTTTAATGTAGTCAGTAAGCATATAAATGTTCCTCTGCCTTCCAACAACAATACATATAATATTTTTTTACATATGCTCTGGTCTTTGAAAGCTTATTTATACCCAACACAATCCATTCAGTGTGTGGGATATGAAAAGGCCTTTTGTTCTTTTTTTTTTTTTTTAAGTGCATTTCTAACCTCTGTTGTCTTCTGCATCAGCTGCAGACAGAGCCAGAAAAATCTCATTCTAAATTTGAGGCTAATGTTGGAGTACTGGCTCTTGTTCTGTAAATATTAATGGAATTCGGGAAGGGGTGGGAGAGAGAGAGAGGAGATGTGGGGGAGGGGTAGGAGAAATATGAACATGCATTTACAGAGTCCTAAGGAGAACTGCTCCGTCTGTTGTTTTGCCAGCCTACAAAAGACAGGTACAAAAGGACAATCCAGCAAAAAAACCCCACACCCACGATTTTGAGCCAGAAGAAAACCAGGATATGAACCAACAAGCTGCAATTCAGTGCCTGAGGCTACAGAGGAGAGAGAAGGGCAGCCCTAAAAACGTTGTAGCTCAGAGCCTCATTTTGTAAAATCATTTGTCTGGATTTTGTTTCCCAGTCCTTTAAACTGTGCTAGAAGTTAAAAATTATACCTTCCCTTAGGTGGCCATGGTCAGATTGTCATAAATTTGTGTCTTTTGTTTTCCCTATACACGGAATAAGTGGTCCAGTGGTGTCAGCTACTGAGAACCAGCACTTAACATACCTAGTTTGTTACAAGTACCTAGTTAGGTACTTGTAACAAAATATGCAGGGTAGATGCACAGTGCAGGACTGGGCAGCATTGATTCCCTTTGGTTTTTTAGGAGGGGACATTCTGAAAGACATGGAAATTAGGAAAATTTGCTTTTGTTCACAGACAGAGAACCTGGTACTCTGTGGTCGGATATAAAGAGTGAAGCATGCTGGAATAACTGTACTCCAAGAAAAGGTCAGACTTGGAGAGATCTTGGCAGACAACTCCTCAAGGCACTGAAGTACAGGGCTCAAGAGCCAGAGCATGTGACAGCAGCTCTCCCCACACCGGCTCCCACCGAAGCTGCACTGGGAGTGAGAAGAAAATGAACTGCTGAGGAATGTCAGAGTGGCTGGGAAGACACTTGGCCTAAGCAGTGCTCCAAGAAAGAAAAGCAACCCTGCATTAGAGAATCCGTATCAACCAGCAAAGGATAAAGTGCTCCTGGAATGCTTTTTTCAGTCAGGCTCTCATTTTAGTGTCAGCATGGGTGGGTCCAGGCCAAAAGGGAACACCTTCAAGTCTAGAGGGGCAGGGAATTGCAGCAGAGAAAGTGACTTTAACAGGGCAGGAACCGAGTCAGTTAAATTAAAAGAGAAATTTTTTACTGCTCTAAAACTGAAAATCCTATCCTGGGATGTAGAATAACACTATGGAAATCTCAAAGTCTCCTTAAAAACATTCCAGACTTTCTAATTTAGAAATAAGGACTGAACAAAGTAATCCCTTCAAAAAAATAGTTCAAATGCTTAATTTTTTCCACTTTTGGAGTAAAAGCTGAAAAAAATAAAGGAAGAGAGGTCTGTACTCCAAATGGATGAGGGATGGCAGGTCTGGTATCAGTCCAAAGAAAGGGCTTGGCAACGCTATAAATCTTACAGTAATAAAATGAAAGAACCTTGAACAAAATTCATCCTTCCCCTAAGCCTTCAAAAAAATTCCATCCCTTGTGAAAAATGATATACTGACAGATGAAAAAATTTACCTTCACCCTTCCCATTTCCAGGCTTGTACCCAGCACATATGGACAACACCTGCACAAGATTCCCCACCCACTGCTGCACTGAGCTGGTTTGCTACTGATTTAACCAGGTTGCTTCTACAGGCAGGTAACATCACCAGCCTCAGCAGGACGTGCAGTTACAGTTCATAAAGTCAAAGATGCAAAAGAACTGAAGCAAAGAACCCATAACCAAAGGTATATGTGGTGCTTCAAAGCAAATACACCAAGCACGACAGGGCATGGGTTCCTAAGTGCCACTTACACACAAATAAACAATATTCAATACTGCTGTGACTGAGAAGGAAAACAGCATGATGATAATGATAATAATAATAAAAAAGCCACCTAGCTTATTTGAAACGGGTAAAAAAAAAAAGAACTATAAATTACTTTCTTAGCTAATTTAATGGAAACATTAAAGGAGGACTTAAACAGGAAAAACAGACAAGATTTCAGAAAATGTAATGATGCTGCAGGCTCAGAAGATATTCAGGATACAAAGGGAAAAAATGTGTCTCATATAAAACATGTCTGAGCTGGCAGTACACTGAGATTATGACCACTACCAAAGCAGAAGAGACTGAGAATGACAGTAACAGACAACACAGGGCAGCAGACAGCAGTAGAAATGCAGAAGTTATTTGAAGAGGACAGGTGTCACCAAACTCAACGCAGCTAAAAAAGGGAGGGGACACAGAAGAGGGGTCAACCAGGTGCTGGCATAGTCAATGCAGGATTTGGGTAGTATAATTTACTATATTGTTTTGGGGTTTTTTGCTGACTAGAGAAGAGCTTTGTTGGAAGGACAGAGAAAAAGATTCCAGAAATAAACATGGGGCACAGTGAAAGCACTACACAAAGTGTATTTGGATGGACAAAAAGGTAAAGTTGGGTGTAAGCAACAAAGCAGATGAGGGGTATGTAAGAGACAGCAAGATTTTGGGTTGGGGATGACAAATAAGATTATTCCTCCTCTCTACTCTAAATTCAAGAGAAATGGACAAAAATTGTAGGAAAATATGTTGGGCTATCCTAAGCATAAGCTGAAAAAGATTTCTGCTAAGGA